GTCCCACCACGTTTCCTCTCTCCTCGTTTTCCCCCTCCTCTCTCTTCCCTCCCTCCCCCCCGGCCATGGCCCCTCCTCGCTCACCTCCGGCGTCCTTCACCCGGCTTGGCTCCGTTCCCTCCTCCCTTTCTCGCATTTGCCCTCCCTCCTCCTCCTCCTCCTCCTTTTTCTCCTCCTCCTCCTCCCGAATCTCCTCTCCCACCTCCTCCGCCACCGTCATCTCCTCGTCCTCCTCTTCCTCCTCCATCTCATCCTCGCTCGCTGTCGAAATTCGCAGGCTCTCCTCCTCGTCCTCGTCCTCCCTCCCTCCCTCCCTCCCCTTCCTCTCCCCTTTGCCCTCCTTCCGTCCCTCCTCCTCCTCCTCCTCCTCCCCTTCCTCCTCCTCCTCCTCTCCCCACCATCGCCGCCGTTTGCGCTGCCGTCGTGGCCGGTCCACACGCACCAATTCCTCCACCGCCTCTACCTTCCTCTTCCTCCCTCCTCCTCCTTCTCCACTCCGCATTCCCTTCCGGCTCGGGGGCTTCCGCCCTTGCAAACCTTTCTTCGCCACCAAGACACTCGCATCCAACCCGCAAAACTCGAACAATTTTCGGGCCACGTACCGACGGTTGCACGACAGCTGTCCCGGAGGCATGGCCGCACAAATCTGGACGAATGCCTGTTGGAGGGCGACGTGGTCCTTCAATCCGCTTTGCAAGGCTTCCACCGTGTCCAAACCCCGCGCTTCCACCCCTGCCCGGGCACACATGTACGCCAGGTCGGGCTTTTTGTTTTTTATCCCGTGGAAGGCGTTCATGGCCGTCACCAGTTCCCGCATGAAATCCTTCCGCCGACGCCGCACCCCGGCTTGGGCACTCCCGCCCCTCCGAACCTCCTCGTCCCTCTGCCCCTCTCCTTCCAATCTCATCACCCCTTCCTCCCTTGGTACCCGGGCAGCCGGTGGCACCACCACTTCAAAAATCCGTTGCAGGCAGTCCAGCTCCGGCGCACTCATCCCCTCACCCTTCCGCAGGTTTCCCAACACCTCCTCTGCCCGTGTGTGGATCGACCTTTGCCCTTCAAAAAAGGCGCGAAAATCCGCCAAGGCTCCCGCGGTTGAAGGCACCTTAAACAACGGAACGAGGCAGTCCAAACAGGCGCGGATTATGAGGCGGGGATGGTTGTATTTATGCCGTTGCATCTCCTCGTATAATTCGTCGGTCAGAACGTCCCTTCCCTCCAACGACAAGAGCTCGTGTGCCCTGTCTCCTTCCCCCCTTCCTCCCTCCCGCCCTCCCCCCCGCCCTGGGTCGGTCCCTCCTCCCGTTGCTCCTTCTCGGCCGACGCCCACGATGGGCAAGGGCGGGCAGATCATGGACTCGGCTCGCGACTCGAAGGTCCTGACATCAACAGGCTCGACTTGCTCGCGGGTACCCGCATTCCTCCCTGCGAC